AAAAAAAACATGATTAATCGTAGTGTGAGGATTAGCTTGCTGCGCTGAACGACCACAATCCAGCTGGTCATCACGTCATTATTGAGAGTACACTTCAGAGCATCTGTAAGCAACCTGCTGCAATGTTTTCTATCAAATTCTGTTTGGACAAGTCCACATATACAGATAGTTCACAGCAGTCTGTCCCAGTCCCCCTCAATTATTCACAGACACCAGTTTACTTTATAGCTTCTCTCAACGACCCATATATGGGTTTAAGATGCTGAGAGTGTGAGGCTCACTCCTCTTTAAGGACAATTCCTACAAGAGAAGAGAGGAGAGGAGAGGAGAGGAGAGGAGAGGAGAGGAGAGGAGAGGAGAGGAGAGAGGAGAGAGGAGAGAGGAGAGTGGAGAGAGGAGAGGAGAAAACCAGGTCTACACTATAGTAACCAGGTGGACCTGACTGTCCTGCCTCTGTGGTTTGAATAGTTGCCTACTGACTACACTCGCATTAAAGACACACACACTTACACACCACAAAGGGTGGGGTCGGAGAAGGGGGGTCTTCCACTGCTGGCTCTCTGGCCGACACGACTCTCAGGGGTATAAATACCTGTGTTTTTGCTGCCAAGATCTCTGGTTTCCCCACCACTCAGATTCAGGCATGAGGAGCAGGGGCAACCCTTACAAATACACACACACACACACACACACACACACACACACACACACACACACACACAGAAACCACCCTATAGTGCTCTTTTACACCAAAAAAACAGTACAGGATAAATCTGAATGTTTCCCTCTAATTCATAGGTATCTAATATAGTAATAAACTTTAACGAGAGCATATTAATTACTTTACCTTACTTTAATGCAAACACATTTTCTAGAGCAACCTGCCAGGTGGGTTTTAAACCAGCGGGACAGCTAATTCATCCTGAGTGTCACAGTAAAGACTGGACAGTGTGTGTGGATGGGTGGGTGGTTGGTTGCAGGATCTTTCGAGACTCCTTCTCTTTGCTGCAGCAGCAAACTGAATCCACAGTCTTTATTTAGACCTGCACATTGAGGCCTGGAGACATGAACCCCTGACCCACCTTTTAATGAACACAGATCGAATATCAGGTGCAGGTTGGAAGCTTCATTAAAAAAGGCAGACACCAAGCGTTTCGTCCACATTACAGACACAGATGCAGCTCCACGGCCCTGTGTCCTCTGTGGCTCTACACATATGGAGATGACCTTTACCAGGCTGCAGGAGCAGGTTCACACATGTCTCCTCAGTTGTAGATGCTGGACCTTTCCTCCCATATCCCTTGTTTCCCTTGAACTTTCCCCAACACTTTCCTTTTTTGGGCCACTCGTATGCATGACGTAATTTGGGAAGAGCTCTCATTTGCATGTGTGTGCGTGTGTGTGTGTGCGTGTGTGTGCGTGTGTGTGTGTGTGTGTGTGTGTGTGTGTGTGTGTGCGCGTGATGCGTGTGCGCAGGGGAAGCGTCAGTGCGCACCAGCACCAACCCGCCTGGCAGCTGTATTGCTTCGCTGTGATTGGGTGGAGGGCGGCGATTTCTCCTGTCACGATTTTGTGTAGCTCCCACCGGAGGACACCGACCGTCTGAGTCCAGCCTGGACCGAGGTGCTCAGCGGAAGAAGAGAGGGCTGCACACCGGGAGGAGGAGCTGTCCTCTCAGGGGCTGCTTGGACACGCGACTCGGGATTTGTGCTCCTGCGGGTGTCGGTGAGGAGAGGACCGGAGAGGAGAAGGAGATCCCCGGTGCTGGAGCGACCAGCCGCCTTTCGTGTGTCGGAGCTGCGGTGCAAAGTCGTTCACGATGCCGGTGTTCCACACCAAGACCATCGAGAGTATCCTGGAGCCGGTGGCCCAGCAGATCTCCCACCTGGTCATCATGCACGAGGAGGGGGAGGTGGACGGGAAAGCCATCCCGGATCTCACGGTGCCGGTGGCCGCGGTGCAGGCGGCAGTCAGCAACCTTGTCCGGGTGAGTTTGAACCACAGCAGGGCGTCACTGCTCCTCTGCACCCGCATCAGTCACCCAAAGTTCCCCAACAGTCCAGGGGCTGGTGTGACATGAATACTCCTTCCTCCATCAGTGTGACAAATCATGTGAGGAGCAGCTCATCAAACTGTCCTGCACACACAGCAGGTCATTCCCATCTGAGTGGCTTCCATTCCCATTAATGGCACCTTCAGCTTGATCTCTGCTCGCCATTAAAATGAGATAAAAGTGTCATAGACCCAGCTGACGATCATGTGTGTTTCATGAGCTCCTGCAGTGTCATCTGTGTGTGTGTGTGTGTGTGTTGCAGGTATTTATTATGTTCTAGGGACCTAAATCACTCACATCATTTGGAAAAAACACCAGTCCCCATAATCATTACATTTTAAGTTGAAAGCTTGTTTTAAGGTTAGGTTAGGTTTAGGTTTACAATATTCAGGTTAGGGTCAGGTTTAGGCAAAGTGTCCAGGAAAATAATGTAAGTCAATGTCATGTCTTCTGAAGTCATGGAGACTGTGAGTGTGTGTGTGTGTGTGTGTGTGTGTGTGTGTGTGTGTGTGTGTGTGTGTGTGTGTGTGTGTGTGTGTTGTCGTGTGCAACATAACATGTCAAAAACGGAATGATAATCAGATGGCTGCTGAGTTCAATGAAGTTTGTGGGGCGGAAGAAACGAGCGGTGACTGAATTAACTGAGTGTCTCTCTCTCTCTCTCACACACACACACATATGTTTCTGCAGCTTTACTGAACTTACATAGATTATTGCAGAATTTGCAGTTTGTAGAACAATGAATTTAATAGACTGCCTCCATCCATTCACTGTAATAACCTCCACAGAGACTATAGACTAGTCTGTGAACATTCATCAGACTCCCACTTGTCCTCTTCATCCTCCTACACCTTCCGCCCTGTTCTCTCCCCCCCCCCCTCTGCTTTACCTCCTCTGTCATCGTGACTCTAAATGGTCATTTTGAAAGCTGCACTCAGACACTGATGTCTCCTCTGCATGCACTGACTGGAAAAATCAATACAGGCCACATCATTAACGCTGAGCTGAGTTCAGTGTAAAAATGATGCATGTGTGACAGGGCCTCACTGACGCAGCTGACAGGAGGAAAAACTTTTACTGACGCTTGAATTAGCAAAAGAAGCTGGTTCCTTGTTGCTTTGTCTCAAACTGATGTGATTATGATGAGTCAGGGAGGAGCAGTGTGTGATCATGTCTGGTTTACTATTGGACATTTGCAGGGGCTGATCTAGGATTTTTTTTTTTAAATCAGGGGCCATAAAGGGGCCACAATTAACACATAGGGGCCAATCATATTTTTAACAAACTTAAGCTTTGTTCATGTCTTTAGCATTGTTTTTTGTGGTTTTACCTTCATACATCTTTGCTAGAATTCTGTGCATTTAGTTCCAAAATGTTGTCATGTCAAAGTTTTGAACAGCTCTGACACGCTGCTGCCTCCCTGTGTGACACACAATATCATTATGGTAAATGATCTCATTAACTGATAATGAAAAGGCCCATTCAGTTTCAACTCAAACTCTGTGACATGCATTGATGGAATTTTTTTTAAAAACTTTAACGTAATACCATCTAACGACACTGTCCTTGATATTCCATTACTAAGGGCACACCTCTCCATCTCCCCCTTTCTCTGCTTGTCATTGTGGATCCATCCAGCTGATCCATCCAGACAGCGAGCAGAAGGAGGCTAATGGTGGCCTTGGGCATGTTGCCTGGTCTGATGCAGATTTGAGGCTGCAGGGCTAAAACACATTGACTCTGCGGTGTCAGATATGGAAGGACTCCCATTTCTGACAGGCAGGAGAAAAACAAGTTAAAATGTTCTCCTCTGGCCTCGGCTCTTTTCCTTTTGTGGTCTTGGGCTCACTTCTCCACAGCGATGACACCAGCTGAACGTGCAGCCGAAGAGGGGGTGATGGATAGTTGTGTCATTCACTGATAGAGGAGTGAGAGTTAACAAGTGGGTGAAAAGAAGGTGTTGAAGGAGAGAAAAGAAGGTGTTGAAGGAGAGAAAAGAAGGTGTTGAAGGAGCGCACAAAAGGTTCTTATTAACAGAGCGTGTACAATCAGCAGTAGCTGGTTGCTGGGTAGACAAACTTAATTGGATGTAAAGGACACCGAACACTGAAATACACACACTTGAGAGAAGATGTGCTTTATTTTAGAAAGCAGATTCAGTTCTACACCTGCGCAGTTTAAGCGAAAACATAAGTCAGTACACAGCAACGTGCCACCATCACCACAAGAGTCCCACTGCACACTGATACAATTACACTGTTAACCCTGTCCAGGGTGGGCTCACTGTGGGGGGTACTTAGAAATCTAGGTCACTGAGACACACACACACAAGATGGTGATGGTGTCAGTCTCAATCTGTCAGAGGTGAGTGTGTGGGGTTGTCGCTGATCCACTGACAGATCTCCAAGATGCTGGTTGGTGTATTAAAATGTGTGATCTTGTTGGGGCTGATGACAGAAGCACAGAGAGACGCCTCTGTGGTGTTTGAGGAGTTGCATGCTCCTGAAGGAGTCAACACAGACCCTGAGTATGTCTGGGTGGAGGAGGGGGAGGAAGGAATAAATAGATTTACCGTTGAGTGAAGTGACTGCGGCCTGAAGGAACAGCAGAAAGAGGAGGAGAGGAGCGAGAGACTCTTGACTAAAACTGTCAAAACAGTGTGAGGCAGAATGAGGGGAGGAAGAGGAGAGTTGTGGAGAAGAGGTGAAACAACCTCTTGCAGCCGGACAACGTCACCCTGTGTGGGAAGGGAAAGTGTCTCTGCCGTCTTCGGTCTAGACTCTGCCAAGCCGCATAGTTCACCCCCCCACATCCACCCCCTTATAAACACACACACCAACTGTCCTCAACTGTCCTGCTCCACCACAAATATATGAGCCATCTCTGGGTTGTTTCAGATTCAGGATGAGTCCACACATAATCTGTCTCCCCTAAATCAACTCCTAACTCATATTTTAATATAAACTGTAAATTACATTTATTGTGAATGACTAACGATGAAGATTAGAAAATAATGTCTAACTGTCGAGGTATTGATGGCAAGTATCAGATTTTTGTGTTTGATTCTGATTTTGCTGTCAGACTTTTATTCCCATGTGTAATATGTCATTACTGTTTCCTGTAGCAAATCAAAGTGCTCCATACCAAGAAGAAGAGTTGTAGTTTTTACAAAAAGTCATTTTTAACGTTCATTATATGTGTCTTGAAAACCGATTCAGCCCATAAAAAAATTATCCCTGCATTTCTCATCAGCTCCTCAAAGAGTTTCAGTGCCTTTCAGCTCATTGTTTTGGTTTCAATTTGTTATGTTCATCCAAACCTGTCAGTGCTATTTCCAGCAGCAGCATCAGAAGACTAAGGCTTTGATTTATCATATTATAAAGCTGCTCTGTACCACACAGCAATTCACAAAGTTAGCTGGTAACCATGGTGCAGAATTTTGCAGGAAAGCAAAACATAGTTGGTGGAGACAAAAACTGAGCTAAAACAGTGTGTGAACGTCTGATTTACACTTGCCAGGGGTATGGACAAAAATATTTGACCTTATTGGGACATTATTTTTCAAATGTGTGTGAAACTAGTTATCCTGCTCCATGATACTAAACATGGCTTTGAGTACAGTTTCACATATGTGCAGATTTACAAGCTTTTTCAATTGTGAATGCATATTTTTTTCACTGCTGGCAAACACAGTTGTGAGATTTAAGTCTCTAGGACTTATCAAACACATTTTAAATGTTGTTGTGATTGGTTTTTCTGTCTTGATTTGATATCAGACAAAGGTGACAGGAGACATACAGAGGTCCCCAGCTAACTTTGAACGGCACATATTGAGATTCTAATCATTAATCCTTATTTGCAGGCTGCACTTTTGTCATCATTCTTTGATCGGACTATAGCTGATGTGGATCTGAAATTAGACCTGACTAATTATTTTCTGTCAGCTTTGACTGACAGCTGTCGGTCTCCTGCTGGAGCAGTCACACCTCTCAGGCTGTTCAGCCACACACACACACACACATCGCACAACGTCAGCTTGTCCAGCAAACCACTTACCTTCACATCAATTATGTATCGAATAATCAATTCCAAGTGTTCCTGCTTACAGGAAACTGTGTGATCAATGACCTGATGTGACTCTGATGGAGCTTCATCAACCTGTTCTGAACCCATAGAGCTGCATTCCTCACATTTCACAGCTGTGAATCTACCTGTTCTTTTAAAGCAGGAACTTCCTCAAGACACAGAGGCTATCAGATGTTTGGATCATGTCCTGAGTGTTTGTGAACATTAATTATAAGGTTTCCCAGTGACAAATTTAAGATTTACAGATGTATTACTACCATTTTACCCCTTTTATAAAGATAATGTGATTGACTGAAGCATGGATGTAAACTATGCTCTTAATTTAGAAAGGGTTGAAAGATCATTCAGCACATCTTATCAGGGTGTGATAATCCATTCTCTGTATCTTCTTATGTCTTTTTTAGCTATCAGTGGAGTTTGACTTGTTGCACTCTGGGGTTTGGTTCAAGCTAAACGGTTGAACTTTATTCATCCAGTTGTAAACTGTTATTTTGTGATGAGTTAGCGACACAAACGCAGATAAGACCCTATTTCTTTATTTTTCCCTAACAATGACATTAATTCCTGTAATAAAAATCAGAGCAGCATAAAATCTTCTGAAATCGATTTCCTTGCTGTGTTTTAGTGTATGACATGAGGCAGCATTACTGTCTGTAATTTCAAAATGGTGGGTGAAATCTGAAGTGAAATCTGACGTGGAGATCAGACCGGTTGGATCTCAGTGTGTTGGTGAAACTGTGTGTTGTGTGATGGCGGCTGCCCGAGTCTCTGGAGCCAGGAAGTCTATTAACTGACTTTAAACGACGCAGCAGCAAGAGACTGATGTCATCATTTCACTGTAATTGCATCTCAAGTGTGTGTGTGCGCTCAAATGTGTGTGTATGTGGTGTAGGATATGTTTTGTGAGGGAGGGTGTGAGTGTGTGTGTGTATGTGTGTGTGTGTGTGTGTGTGTGTGTGTGTGTGTGTGTGTGTGTGTGTGTGTGTGTGAGAGAGAGAGTGAGAGAGAGTGAGAGAGAGTGTGTGTGTGTGTATGTGCATTTTATAAAATGTGTAGTCTTCAGGACAGAGTTTTTTGGCATTATGCATGTTTCTTACTGTGCTCCCATGAGCCCTGACATTAGATAAGATATAGATTATTTAATAATTGAGTGTGCAGCTAATAAAGTCTCAGGGGTTCATACAAATGCATCATCATCATCTCAATAGAAAGTAAACATAATCTTGGCAGCAGAGCAAGAATGGCTCTTAGTCGAGCACACACCTCCACCAAGGCCTACATCCTTTTAAACCAGTGTCATATTTTGCTTTGACAAAATGTATATGTATTTAAAATATTTCCCAGAAGTTGGAAAACTTAATGACTGTTTACATATTTGTGAAGCACGAGTGTAAGTTGCATGAATCCGAGCCTATAGAATAGTTGAATCATTTTTTTTATCAGGCAATGTAGTCATTTGATCATTAATCTATTTAAATAAAAATTAGGGCAATTTAAATTTAGGGAATCAAATATATTACTTTGAAAAACATTGAGGTGAAAGGTTTTTGGGGAAAAAATCAAGACACTCTAATGGAAAAATCAGTTTTCTCAAATCTGACCATCAAGTTCAATCAGTGCAGTAAAAAGAAAACGCATAATTTTCCTTCACCAGGTCCCAAATTTAGATTTTGCTTGATTTATTTTGGAGAATTATCAGCAAACATTTTCAGCATTATTGACTCTGTACTGATGATGAGGCGGTGTCATCACTAAACGCTGCCTGTTCGTGGCGACGTACGGGTCGATTTAGATTAGAACAAATGTCTTTCCTCTGACCTGCCCTCATGTATGACAACATAGAGCCGAGCTTACCACAGCCTGAGCTGCTTCCCCTCCAAGCCTGACAAATATGACATTCATGCATGGTTGAAATAGGTGCGAATTGATCTGTACCCGTTCACCCATACAGACTATTAATAGCGCTCACTCCAATACTATTTCCTGTCTCGCTGCAGCTAATGATAATAAAACAAATGCTTGGTTCTTGTGTGTGTCGCAGGTGGGGAAGGAAACGGTTCAAACCACCGAAGACCAGGTGATGAAGAGAGACATGCCCCCTGCGTTCATTAAGTAAGTGTGTGAAGCTGGTTTTAGCAGAAGAAGCACTGCTCCCTCTGTCCTCCTCTCCCTCTCTCTCTTTTACTCACACAAACACCCAGTGACAAAACTCTGGAAATGATCCGATTTATCTCAGCAGACAGAGAACTTGTTGAAAAACGGATTCCGGGAGACTTAATGGTCGGAAACGTGGCTGCGCTCCCAGCTGAGACAAAGAGCCACTTCTGAAGCTGAGTGCGGGTGACTGTCCGGCTGCAGCATCCGAACCGTGTGGCTGTTTGTTGTTTTCCAGCTTGCATCCAGAGAGCTGACAGGAACTCTGAGTGCTGGCTGAGAGCGACCAATCCGCAATACTGAGACTTAGACATCAGGCTGTATTTGCTTGCCTGTATGTGTATTGTAATTTTGTATACATCAGTGCTTTTACAGTTATATTATCTGTTTCCAGATTGTTTTTCTCCCTGATTTCCTTCGACACTTTCCCTTTTTTTTTGTTCCAGACCTCAGTCAGATCCACACACTACTCTCTCACTGCTCACTCCCAGGACACTACACCATAAATCTGACTCACACGGCTTAGGAGGGGGCATGTGGGAATGTGAACCTGTCTAAATATAGATGAACCAGCAGCCATCGATACCCTGACCAACGGGGGTCAAAAACAGGAGGGACTTGACTTTATTCAAGGGGCCTTGAAATTCATCAACTTCTTCAGGCTATAACCTGATCACTGATCTAAGGGACAGACGATTCGAGACAGAAAATTTCATCAGTCTCGTTTTGTTTGGAAAATTTAGACATTGTCCCTAATTATCATATTAGTACAAATAAACTATATTATAAATCCCAGATCACCCCTAGTTACCTTCTTATATGTGCAGACTGTAAAAAGCTGCTAAATCAATCCACTTCTCTCATGTATGTCACTGTAAATCTAACCTCTGACAGCTCTGACAGTTCTGATCTATGTGATTTATTTGGGTGATACATTCCCACTGTTGGTAAATGTACACGCTGGGTTTCATTCCGACCGCTCGTCTTAAACCTGCTGTGTTTTGTGTTTTTTTTCAGGGTGGAGAATTCAAGTTCAAAGCTCGTCCAGGCAGCGCAGATGCTAAAGGCAGATCCATACTCTGTTCCCGCACGAGATTACCTGATCGATGGGTCCAGAGGGATACTGTCAGGAACGTCTGACCTGCTGCTTACCTTCGATGAGGCAGAGGTGTGTGTGTGTCTGTGTGTGTCTGTGTGTGTCTGTCTCTTTAGGTTCCATGTGTGTCCCCTCAGAGTCACTTTTACTCCAGAGGTGTGGTATGTTTCAGGGAAATATAGCTTTATATAGCTGCACTGAAGGAAGAGGAACTCGGCTTCAAGTAAGTCAGTTATGGAGTCTCGGATGCAGCCAGATCTAATCACTGAGATCAAATGACCTCCTTCTGACTCTGTGTGTGTGTGTGTGTATGTGGTTCTGCTTGTATTATATGTTTGTATGTGAGGATATTGCACATACTAGCTTGCAAGGTTGTGTGTGTGCGTGCGTGTGTGTGTGTGTGTGTGTGTGTGTGTGTGGGTGGGTGTGTGTGGGAGAGAGTGTAAGTGAAATCACATTGTGCACGTGATGATGCTCATGCCTTATCACTAGCCTCATTTTTTTAAAAGAGCAACTTCTGCAGTCACAAGACATGGATCACAAGACTGTATACACACACCACACAAATTACAGGGTCATTTCAACACTGTCTAAAAAAAGCTCATGCGCAAACTGAATTTTGCTGTTTGATAAAGCAGTTTGTCTCAAATCACCACTATCACTTCATTATCAGCCTTTGTTTTACATTGATATTCATGATCTCTTCTGGCTGTGATGCCTCTGTTGTGTTGTAGGTGCGTAAGATCATCAGAGTATGTAAAGGAATCCTGGAGTATCTGACTGTAGCTGAGGTGGTGGAGACCATGGAGGACCTCATCACTTACACCAAGAACCTGGGTCCAGGTCAGCAAGAGAAACTAATAGATATAGAAAGAAAGAATGAAAGATGTTGCTTTAAATCTGCAAGTCCATGAGGAAAAGTCCATGTGTAGATTTCTGCAGTTTAGAATTAGAGTCGTATAGGAAACGCCCCTTTTCAAAATGTTTTTTAAAATGTACTACTACTCAGTTGGTGAAAACACAGAGGGACACCTCTGATTGTTCAAGTTAAAGCTGTGATGCTGTCGCCAAACTCATTACTGTTCTACCTGCTGTTTGGATTGACAGTGATAACCTCTAACTCTCAAAGGACAATACACATTTCACTAGTTTCTCTCTCTCTTTCCTCAGGGATGACCAAAATGTCGAAGATGATTGAGGAGAGGCAGCAGGAGCTGACGCACCAAGAACACAGACAGATGCTGGTCAACTCCATGAGCACTGTCAAAGAGCTGCTGCCTGTTCTCATATCAGGTGTGTATGTGAGTGGGTGTGTGTGTGTGCGTGCATGCGCCTATGACAATGCAGGTCACTGAGCATCCAACAGTTGTTATAGCAACGCTCATAATTACAGTCATTAGTTAGTGGGGATGTCAAACTGACTACACACACACACACACACACACACACACACACACATCCACCACTGGCAGCTCTACTCATACTGTATCTGCACCAGAGCACAGACACACTGTTATAGCTTCTGTTATAGCTTCTGTTATAGCGTCTGTGCCAGCTGCGCATGTGTGTGTTCAAACATCAAGGTTCAGTGTGGATGTAATGTCAAAAACGTTTGGACCCATAGTTTGGCTTTGCACGAGCCATTTTGCAAATTAAATTGGCTATAATCAGCTTTGTTATATTAACAGTGGATCCCATGATAACTGCTACTAACTGTGCAGAGCTTTTCCATTTTTTGGTTTAAGGGAACACAACTTTAATGTTTTGGTTCACTCTTGTGGCTCTCATGTCAGTTTTTAGCATTTAGTTGCCAAACGGCCACTTAATTCCATCAGGTGCTGGTGGAGACCAAAAACAGAGCTAAAAGAGGCTGAATATTGGACCTCACATTCATCAAACAACAAAAGGGCATGACGCAAAATGAACTTTAATGTTCTTTTGTAACTGTTGGGTGGGAAAAGGCACAACTTTTTAAAGAAATTTGTCAAATATGCTGCTCCCAAGTGGCCTAAAATACAGGCTTATACAGCCCCAAGTCAATTCTATGTGTTGAATGTTCTAGTAAAACCTGGTGCAGTCATTGTTTTTTCGGGGGTTCTTGCCACAAGGTCTTTTTTGATTGTACTAGGGCAAGTAGGATATTTTCAATTAAATACTGGCTTTAATTACAGTTCTATAAATGTGGTTACAAATCTATACTCCTCTGCGGCTGTAATCATAAAAACTCATGTTTCTCTGCTCAGCTATTAAGATCTTTGTTGCAACAAAGACCAGTCGGGGTGCTGGCGTGGAGGAGGCGGAGAGGAACAGAAAGTTCACCTTTGAAAAGATGAGCTCTGAAATCAACGAGATTATAAGAGTCTTACAGCTCACCACATGGGATGAAGATGCATGGGCCAACAAGGTATGACCTGTGCTGCATATGGGGACTGTTCAATTTCCCTAAACCCCAACTTCAAAAGCATCAATCTCCACATACCTGAATCAAAGTCAGTCACTTTTGCTTTGAAGTGCCTGTTCACACACACACACACACACACACACACACACACACACACACACACACACACACACAAACACCACACACACACACACATATATAGCCTCACAATCCACACATCCACTTTTCTTTTTGCTCGGTAGTATAACTCCTGGTTTTTCTTTTTCCTTTTCTTTCTTTACCTTTCTCCTCCATTCTTTTCCTCCCTGTAGAAGGTAAGCCTGTTTCTCTCCCCCTCTGCAGTTTCCAGCATGCGAGTGTGTATTTATTTATATATCTGTGTGTGAGATCCAGAAAGGGAAATACTGTACGTCCCGATGCTGACATATATACTGTATGTATGTATATATCTGTCATGCTGGTATCAAACAGTAAGTATGTGTTGTGTTTTAGTCCACTCACTGTTAGCTTGTGTGATGATGTACAGTACGCGTGCTTCATCACTGTATTACTACATGTGCATATGTTTGTCTCTTGATGTCCATTTGAGTCAAATGGCATGAGATGACAGTTATTAACAAATGGATTTTAGTTTCAGTGACGGCATTTTGCTTCCCGTGCTGCTCATGTTTACGGTGTGATACATTCCTTGATAGCAAAATGAGACAAGGTTTTAAACAGAATGTAATCCCATGGAGATATTCTGGGCACATATTTTACAGACAATGGTATGTTTTACCGGTATAGTTAAGATCTGATTTACTAGTCTAACCTGTAACCCTGCATGTTCTTCTACGTGAGACACTGATCTCTGTGTCAGTGTGTGTGTGTGCACGTGAGTGTGTGTGTGCGTGTGGTCTTGCGGTTGACAATACTGCATACTCTTTTGTATGAGCTGTCATGAGCATCTAGTGTGTGGGTGTGGGTGTGGGTGTGTGTGTGTGTGTGTGTGGCGTGAAACCACTCGCTGTCCTCTGCTCAGGTCATGAATTATAGAAATAAACTGCTTGCTGTTCAGACACATCCATAATAGATGGGTTGTATTGAACGGTTCCACTTCCACTGGATCTTTCTCCTCTGAGCTGGAAAAAAGCCTTTTTTTCTCCATCTAGTATAAAAATATGAAATTTGTTTGTGGCATTCTGGATGTGAGATGTTTCTAATTTTCCACTTGA